CATAATAATGTAGGTGGAATTCCCAATTTTGTGTGCATGTAATAAAGTTGTTGGGTTTGTTATTGCTTTTTTTTTGTGTTAGAGTCCGAAACCGAGGTTCTGTTTTTTCTTGAGAAAGTAGGAAATTAGTGAAACTGAGTCAGTTGCAAAGCTGAATAAATAGAAGTTGTCTGAACTATCATTTTGCTTTAATACTTCAGTGGCCAGTAATAGTGGATAAAATAGATGTGGGAGGGCAAAAGACTTGTGCCACTGCTTATTCGAGAATATGAAAGGTTTTTAGATGTCTGAATACTGGAGTTAGAGTGTATTTTGGGAGGAAGGGTAGGAATATGAGGAGAGGATATCCTCTGTTAGTATTAGAAGACTTTCTGTTTATGCTAAAAAACACTAAGTGGCTTGGGAGGAACTTTTTTCCATAAAGATTCACTTGCTGCTTTAGTCAAAGACTGAAAGCTCACTAGACTGAAATGTAGCTGAAATTCCCAGGGATCCAAGCAAATCCAAAATACACAGAAACTGATATCCCTTGTGAAGCAGTGCACACAGCGCGCACAGATTTTTCCTTTTGATAAAAAAAGCATTAGGACCAAAGGAAACATGCCTGGTTGGGGGAAAAAAAATCCTCTGTAGGCTGTCTGGAAAAGAGGTTTCTCACTTTCAGTGTTGTTATTGGTGGATCAGACATAATTTTAAGCATGGATAAAGTCTTTTGTAGTAATACTAGCTCACCCGTATTTCATGTGTTTGTGATACTAAGATACTTCTAGCTGCGCGATGGAAGTTGGAACTCCCTGTCTGCCATATAGTCAAGCTAATACTTGAAATCTGATATGTACACTGTGCTTCCTAATGGATCAAGGCGCTGGGTGAGATTAAGGCCACCTAAAGAGCTGCCTGTAAAGCTGTTCATGAAGATAGTTCATTTATAGCATTTGTACTTCACTGGCTAGTGATTAAAATGCTTGCAAATCTTTGTTTCACAGCAGAAGTTGATCATCATCAGAGGTTAGGAAAGCAGGCAGACTGTTGAAGAGGTTTTACTGTCAGCTATTTCTATTATCACTTTCTCTACAGCACATTAAAATCTGATTTTCAGGGAGTAAATTCAGTTACTTTACTGAACTTTGAAACTTGTGATAATGTTTTGTGTTTGAGCATTGGGCTATTGTTGAAATTGTAGATTTTTAATACTTAACCTACCCTAATGCTGACGTTTCTGTGGTTACAGCCATTTGCTAGAACGAAGCTGTTTGATTTAAAAGTAAAAATTTTGTTTTGTAGAGAAAATAGTGACAGTTAAATCCCTGTTCTTTTATAACATGTTTGTCTGTGGTGTTTTCCTCGTAGCTTGCACCACGAGAGAAGGCAGCTATGAATTACAATCAGAAGCTGAAGGAGAAGTTCCAGTATCACCCACAGATCAGACGCATAGCTCAACACCGTCACTTGCCTAAAAGCATATTTTGCCAAATCAAGGAGCAACGTATCATGAGAGAAGCTCGTCGACGAAAGTACGTCTTCCACTGCTGGCTTTGTTTTCTCTTGATCTTAATAAAAAGCATCACTGCAGTGCTGTAGCGGCAATGTATGGGAGCGTTAGTGCCACAGCATGTGGGAAGAACAAGTATGAGCTATGTGTAACATCTAAAGAAGTGATCATGAACTACTGGATTGATAAACCTTTGATTGTAAGGAAAATGCAGGCAAATGCCAGTATCAGTGAGGACTGGCTGCTTCCCAAAAGTTCACTGAAGAAATGGGAGCAAAGAAATGTTTCATTTTTGGGTGGTGGTGGGGTTTTTTGGGTGGTGGTTTTGTTTGGTTTTTTTTTTTTTAATGCCAGACTCCAGGATGAATGTTTTCCATCACCTGGATCATTGCCATATTGGAATTTCTAGGAGTGGTAGGTGGCATACTTTGCTGTAGCCCTTAAATTAACAGTAAAACCAAAAAGTGGTGGGTTTTAGTGCTCTTTCTCAGCTGAAAGACTCTACAAACATGAGCAGCAAATCCTGTTGACATGAAACCCAAGTATAGCTGAGCTCCCAAGAAAGGGTTCGATTTGAAACTTTTCTAAATTAGCCAATTTTAAAGCTGTTTTTCAAAGGGATAATCCTTCTCAAAGGAGGAAGTACGTGGCTTTTGATTAATAAAAGCAGAGCAATTCTTAATTGTGTTTTTTTAATTGTAGGTTATTTCCATTAGTAGCTTAAGGAAGAAGCTAGTATTTTTTTAAATCTTTGTGCTGACTAATGAACTTCATTTTTCTGTTTTTTTTGTTTCTAGGGAACTGAATCGTCGTAAGCACAGCAAACCAGGATCTATGCCATTTGTGTCAGAGAGGAAGAAACATATTGTGGCGGTAGTGAAGTAATTGTTTCCACATGTACAAAATGTCACAGTGACAGAAAATGTCATTGTTGAATGAATCCACTGTACCAAATTTGATGGACATTGGTAAGACAATGTATCGCTCCAGAAATGTGGCTTTTCTTCCAACTGTACATATGCTCTGATTTCTCAAGTCGTCTGCTTTGGGTAGTCATAAGAATTGGCCCTGTAATCTTTTATTGCCATTATTCTGTCTGGTGTTACTGGCCCAACACTGTATTGCAGTGGAGTTTGACCCTTTTCGTATACGCAGGTAACAATTGGTGGAGGATATCTGTAGTTCCAGTCCTATTCCTTGGTACCATCACTACAAAAGAAAGAATAAATTGTTTCAGATTTGTCAGAGGCACAAACCCCTTTGTTCCGTATAGAGTTATAAAATCAGTGTCCTTATGCTGTTTGTTCTATGTGTGGGGGTTTTTTTTGGTTTTGTTTTTTTTTTTTTCCTAAACAAATCTAATAAAGTAAACAAGTGACCTTAAGGCCGTGGACTAGCTTTTGATTATTCCAACTGACAGTTATACTACATTATACTTATTACAGTATAATATATTATTTTTCTTTTATCCAAAAGGAATTCAACACAAATGTCAGACATCTGTAAACATATTGATAGTTTTGTTTTGTCTTCTTAACTATTGTTATATGACTTGACGAAACTTCAGACTATTGAGGTTGCTAATATTTATAATGACATAGTTGAATGAATATCTTTTTAGCTTATTTAAAACTTGTAATATCTGGATGAAAGATGACACAAATTATGTAAAACCCAGAAACTTCTTTAGGTGAGTTTTATTATAAGCCTTCTATTTTAAGTTTATACAAAAAAATAAAAGCTTCACATTTCACAAGGTACCTGTAGCCCCAAGTTCTTTTACTGTTTGTCTGGGAAATGTTCTGCTTCTCTTCCAGTAGGATAGACTTAGCTTTTTACTGAAGATACTAAGGTGATCAGAAAACTATGCTGGAATTCATCTCAGCCTTCTAGGCTGAGGGCTTCTCTTGCAGAAATACGAGATATTTAATAACCGTAAGTGTTGCTTATCATCTTTCCTACTAAAGGATTTTTTTAAGCCTTTGCACTACTATGCTGTCTGTAACTACACTCCCCCACATCCCCGAGTTTATGCACAAACAAAATTTATGAACTTGATCAGAATAAACTTTATAGTTTAACTTTTTTATTATTTTAATCTGGAAATTGAGCACTTTGAGCACTTTCTTCATATAGCATTCTGTTTAGTATATCTACTAACATTAACATCCATATGCATTTCTAGTTCTTACTCTTCCAGCACTGGTTGGGCAAGATTCCTGGATCATCATGGCAAAATTACGGCTGTTTGGTGATAAGAGGCCATAATGTTTCTTTTACTCTCTGGATCACTTACCTTATGGGGTGATGCAGGAAGAGAAGCAGATCTGAAGAGCTGTAAGTAGGATGATGAGAAGCAGCGGAACAGATCAGGGAATAGACTGATGCTGGCTGTGTGCCTGTTGTACTAATACCGTGCACTCTGTGCCAAATACAGTTTTATTTCCTTCCTGAAACACTGAGAAAATTGAGGGAGAATGTGTGGTCCAAAGTATGGCTTGTGACACAGCTGTAGTCAAGTCTTGCACGTTTTGCAAAACCAGACTAATCTTCTGGAATGTGATTAAAAAATTTCAGCCATGTCACTTTAGCCTGAGTTGATGGAGTTGGTTGTTGATTTCCTGAGTCATGATAACCTCTGGTGTGAACAAGCCCTGCCACTGGGAATTTATTAGCTTTGGTGCTGAACTCTGAACATAACCAGAGAGCTTTCAGTTCTGAAGTTAGTTTGGTTACAGTGTGCATCGGTGTGGAGCTCTACCGCATGAGCCATGTCCAAAGGACCTCTTTATGTTCAAAGACCTTTGTGCACTATTGCTTTCACAGGCCCCCAGGTGGAGCAACTCAAAGGACCAAGGCTGGCTAAAGTTTTTGCTAGAGAGATTGTAACAGCATGCTGAAAAAAAGGCATTTTCAAAGTTAGGAGGGTACTCGGAGGCTGTGTATTTGGATATTAATTCCTTTTCCAAATTCAGTGGGTGTGGTCTTGTACAGAGATCTTAGTCTTGTCATCAAGTGGGGCACCCTCTTAGCATTCCAGGAAAAAGTCCGTTTCCCAAAATCACATCTTGCTATGACTTCTGGAAACATGTTAGTTGTAAAAGCAATGTAGGTATGGGCTGAGGCTTTCTGGTTTCTGGTCAGTTGTTTGGAATTTTACAGGTGGTGGTCGTAGTCTATCTGTTGAGGGGATTCCTGGCCGTGGATTTGTACACTGTTGGGCTAGCTGCTGTTGATTTGTCCCTTTTGGAAACCCTTACGGTTGGTCTCCAACACTTTTTGTGGCCATCCACCAAAAATATGTAATGCCACAATACTCAGAGTAGGGTTTTTAAACTTACTTATTTAAATACAGTAGTTGCCTGGTGGTAGCGCTGCAGGTCACAGGCCATCACTGAAACGGTTTAGAAATCACATTAAAGGAGCAGGAGCTCTTCCGCTGCTTGCAAGAAGTGCTCATACAAATCTGTCACAGGCCATCACTGAAATAGTTTAGAAATCACATTAAAGGAGCAGGAGCTCTTAATTTTTTTTTCTATTTGGTGGGGTTTTTTTATTTTTTCCCTCAGTTATTTGAGAGGTTTTATTGGGCCTCATCTTAATCACCTTAAAGGAGTTACCTAGACTTACCAAAATCATTATATGCAAAAAGAATATGGAGGCATGCACCTGCATGTATGTGTACCTGAGTGTATGTAGAGTAAAATCCTTAGCATCGCATAAGATACTGAAAATATAAGGAAACTGTTACAATTGCCTTCAAAATTTTGGTGTAGTTGATTGGGGCAGGGCAGAAGTGGGGGGAGGTGATGGACTGCTTTCTAAGCCAAATGCATTGCCTACATACCTGCTGATTAAAAAAAAAAAGATAACTTCTGTATGTATTCTTACTTGGGAAGATAGTTAAAGACTATACCATGCACCTGCGTAAACATGGGCTGCGCTTGGGTATTCCAGCTCCACCCTCTTCCTTCTCTCCAGCAGGCCAGGACTGAAGTTCCCCTGTGGGGTGTGCACCCCCTTGCAGTATGGGTCTGGTAGCTGCTGTGAGACAGCCCAGGCAGTGACTGTCATCCAGCCCCTCTCTCCCAGTTGCTGGCCCTTAGACCCTCAAGTCCTGCAGACATGTGGTCCTGCTCCAGTGGCTCATACTTAATCCTGTTGTCCCACTCATGGGCTAGTCCCACTTGAAGTTTGCTAGCATTGGCACGTACGTGCACACAAGTCCAGTTAAAAACACAGTGTCATAAGAATATCGGGTGGACTGCAGTGATGCGGGGCAAGGCTTGTCCATCGAATCGTAATCGGTAAGCTGTCTGCATGGGACTGGCCCCTTTCGTCCTCTTTGTCCTTGTTTTTTCCAAGCTTTTTCTCTCCAGTCTACCTTAGTCCTTCCCTTTACACACCTTTGGTGCTTCCCTTAAACATCCCATAGTAAGTTTTGCACATTGCTGCAATCCCCTTAAAAAAAAATCCCATAATAAATTTTGCATAGTCCCCAAATTCTCTCTGTTCTGTCCCTAAATTCTCATCCCCCTGTATCCTGTAAGAAGTCTTATACCCCTTTGGGTAGTCCCTCAGTCTGCACAGCTTTCTAGGGAGTTGCCTACACTTATTTTATTGGGTTTTGCACCAGGAACGATGATCTGAATCTTCTTCGATGATTTTAGGACTAGATGGTCAGCGTGCTTGGTTTTCACTGGTCATTTTTCTGATCCTTGCCATGGCTTTATGTTTAATTTGCTTAGCCTTTAGTCAGATAACCTAACACACTCTGTTATATGAAAATATCTCTGCAGTGCCTTCTGATCCTGGTTACCAGACCAAGAATGTGGCAGTTGGAGTAGAATTCATCTTGCTTAACCTCGGATGTCTACGGTACGGGCACGGTGAACAGCTTTGTGTGTCTGATCTCGCTCTATACTTGGTGGAGAAAATCAGTTATTTTAGGGGACATTTATCCCATACTTCAGACATTTATATTGTGATTTAAAACCTTGTTTTATTTTATAATTAACATTGTGATATGAAAGGTGGCTAGTTAACTTGTGAATATCTGTATAGGTTTGGACAGAATTGTACGCAGAGGCGATTAGGTTTAAGATGAGCAAAACCAGCGACAAGTGAACACCTTCTGGAAGTTCTTGTCTGCTATTTGGCATGGCAAATGTCTAAAAACATTTGAAGGGAGATGAATGAGGTTTTGTAACTGAGGACAAAGAAATTTCTGCAGATAATAGTTTGTGGGAAACTTGAGGAGCTCAGTGTTACACTAGAGAAAGATGGGAAGGCATTTGAAGAAGAGGGACTTTAATTGGAAAGAAAAGACTGTGATATCCTCACCTAGGACTTCTGGAGCTTTAGAAGGTATGTGAAGAATTCTAGGACAAAATCAAAGATCATAGTTCAAATACCACCAACTAAAACCTGCTGAAAGTGTCATTCCTTACGCTATTAAATGAAAAAAATACACACTTCCTCTCAGTTGAACATCATGTTCTTTATATGCAGTTTGAAACAAACTTAAGGGCTTACTTTTCAAAGGTGATAAATAATTACTGTTCTACTGACTTGAAGCAGATCTGCTGTTTTTCAGTGCCATGAAAGTTTGATCTGGGATCTCTGTGGATTTTAGGATATAAAGTGGAAGATCTTGTTTTTTGAAGTTTTTCTAATATTAATAAATGCTAGTATGCTTAGCGATTTCATTTTGTCCAAGTCTGGAGCAGTTTCAGCAGATGCAAGTGATGTGTTCTCAGTGGGTAGATGGATATGATCAGGAGTTTATAGCACGTTGCATCACATTTTCTACTTTTAGGGCTTGTGTGGGCAAAATCAAAGATGTTTCAGCAGACAAAGGAGCGCTGCTGATTATTAAGAAGATAAATGGATGGAGATGGTATTTTGACCGTCATTGTAAAAATGTGATTAAAACCCACAATATGATAGAAACCCACAGATTTAATATAGATGTAGTAGACATGCTGCACTCACATATTTATTACAAGACTGACATCCAAGCCTCTAACTTGTGTTCAAGCAGAGTAGAATTATTTGAAGATGTGACTTTTTTTTCTAAGAGCCTTATTGTAGAATGAGACAAAAATTTTTCAGCGACCTGAAAAATACCATTCATTTACAAAACGGTGTATAAACGCTGTCATGGCATAAGGTACAAGTGAACAGTGGGAGGTAGCAAGGGATAGGGGATCTGTTACGTCTGCTAAGAGAGGCCATTGCATCAAACACCCGCACGAGACAAGTCCACTACTTCATGATAGAGCCAAACCTTACCAACAGCTGCAGAGTCTCAGTTGGAGCACTCCTGCTATTACTCTCTGGGGCGAACACCCCTGGGTAGCTCAGCAGCAGCATTTGGTCGTTGCTTATTTCCCTTCCACTCCATCCTGCAAAAGCAGCTGTTTGCTGGTTTTCTGCACTTTGAGATCTAGGGTAGGGATTGAATAGTACCTGAGGATTGAATCACTTCATATTTGTAAAATTGGTTTGACCAGAGGATTGCACATTTTCCAGCATTATGGTTTGTCTTTCTCTTCTGTTTTTGTTCTCTTCACATCCCTGCTTCCCTAAATAGCGCCTCAGAAATTCTTGCTTTCTCCGTGGTCATCACTGACTTGGCTATATCACTTAGCTTTTGCTAACCAGAAAACAGAAATACTTCTTTCTTGAGGTTATTTCTACCATTTGATATTATCTGGTGGAACATTACCCTGAATCCCTCCAAAAATGAGGATCATTAGGCTCTGGAAGACCTATGGTCACTTTAATCGTTTGCAGATGCTTTTGAATCACAGAATCGTAAGGGTTGGAAGGGACCTCAGGAGACCATCAGTGAACCTACACTATGGTGTGTATAGTGTTTGGGACGTATTAGGGGAAAGGAAGCTTGGTCTCAAAAATGCTTGGAGGATGAGAAGAGAGAAGAGCAAAAGGGGAAGGATTATTACCAGAATATAACAAGGTTTTGCAGACTGGCGAAAGGGGTGGGGTTTGGCATGGCAGGAGTCGGGGGAGCTGTAAGGCATAGATGGAAAAGGAAGGAGTATGCCAGCAGTTTTCTTACTCAGTTTGATTTTTTTCCCTATCATCTTTACTCAATCTCTTTTATGCTATAAGAATGTAAGGCAAAATATCTAAAATGTCTCCTCCCCCCCCCCCCCCCCCCCCCCCCCCCCGCCCCCCCCCCAATGGGATAATCCAGCATTTAAGTCTGAATGCAAAAGATTCATTGGCTCAGCTGGATATCTAAAGGTATCATATTTATAGACCAGCTATTTCAGGAATGGAGCCTGTGTTCTTTTGCATCACTTAAGGCAAAATATAACCTTGGCAAACAAAACCACTGGCAATATTTGCAGTTGCGTCATTCTCAAGTGAGTATTTAACATCAAAAAACGTTAGGACGTTCATGATAAGCCACTGTTTTTACATAATCCTGTCAGTTATGGCTGTCCAGTAGCTGTGGTACAATATCTTGAACAGAAAATGTTCACTATCATAAGTTAAATCAGCATGGAGTAAGTAACTGGATTATGATATTGATGTCAAACTGTGGAATAAACTTAATACAGTAATTGGGTGTCTAAATGTGATTTGAAACTAAGGTTTAGTCAGAAGAGGGTGTTTTTTCCCCAGGAATAAAACCAGGAATCTGACTCAGTGACAGTTCTTTAAATTAGGGACAATGCATAGTAACTTGCTTGAAAAGACAAATACCTTTATGGGTTTTGTGCCTTATTCTGTGGAGAGTCTTTTATGTGAACTGCCCTAGACAGAGATTTTGACTGAGCTCTCTACATTGAGGAAATGTCATAGTGAATTTTGGACCGAGTCAAAATTAAATCGTGTAGTTACGCTCAGGGACGCATTTATGGTGGCAGACACAGAAAAATGTGGCAGAACGGATCAGAACTAAATGTTCAAAAAAAATCTATTACAAAAAGTTTTACTAAAATGTTAGTAACCAAAGACAATTCACAAGATGGTAAGAGCTGAAATAGTGTGCTAAGCTAACCAGTCAAGTCTTTCAGCAAGAGATATCTGAAGGAAGAAACTGCAGATCAGTCAGGTTCTCATTTTATTTGTCTGTCTTAATTCAACCCACTTTTTGTATCATCAGAAGCATAAGAGTTCAGCTGCCTTTAGGCTGTGCTATCAGAAGCCAATGCCTTCATGCTTTTCCAAAATTTCTTGCAAAACTTCTGCTTCATTGAATACTCTGCTGACAATGTCCCTCAAGTTTGCTTGGCTTTGGGGATGCCAAAGATTAGGGGGCCACGATGTAAAGGCGCACCCAGTCCAAGAACAGGGCCTGCTTTATTCTGTGCAATTACATCTCTCTCAGTAACCAAGGGGAATGCCAATGCCGAAAGCTGTTTTCCATCCATTCCTTCCTGACCCACGGGTATATGTTTAATGCATAGCTACAAAAGACTCCTAGCTTGTCATGGAGGGCGTTAGATTTCCCTGCTGGAGGCCAGCCATGGGAAAGCAAGGCTTTTCACTTGAGTCATGGGCTCACTAAACCAGCAACAACTGCGTGATTGCATGTGTAAGTGAGCTAACAACACTTCTCAAGACCTCCCTCTTACGGAGCAATACAGTCACCTGAGGGCACACTGGTTTTCACCACCTTTGTTTTTTGACTTTCTGACTTAAGGACATTTTATTCCCTTCTGACAGTTCTTTAGCGGCATGTTTTTTATCAACGTCTCCAGGAGGCAGATACCATCAGCAATGTCCAGACCTACACGTGCGTGACTTGACCACAGAATTTCACTGTCTTGAAGATCTGTTACCTCCAAAATACAATAAATTCAGTATTAACTCCAAAGTAACTGGTTAGAGAACTTGGCCCACCTGGTGTCTTAACGAAAACTGCAAATTTTTCAAGGTATTGTACAGAGTTGCTGAAAATTTTTCAGAGATCCTCTTGAAGTCTTTCTGAAAGTCAACACAATCCAGGTATGTTTGGTATGTGCCACGTGTTGCTGGTGTGCATTGGTTGTTCCGTGACAGTGAAGAGCCTGAAAATACGGTCAGTGTAAGATCAGGCTGCCAAAAGTCATCTGTTGTTCTTAAAGTACCTGAAGATGCAGCGGTGTTGCAAATCCAATTCAGCAGAAGTATGTAGAATTTTCTGGAGAGGACTGTGATGCTGTGTCAGTTTTACAGTTGCTAAAAGTGCCTTTCAGGTTGGTTTTTTGAAGTTTGTTCTTCTACCTTCTTCTACAGTGGACTCATTCTCAAAAGAGTGCTCAGTTCAAGATTTAGAGCATCATCTTCTGCTCCTTTTTGCTGCCTTCTCTGAGCAGATCTGATCTGTTTTACCCTACACTGTGCCTTCCAGTTCTTAATTTTTAAGCTACTTTCAGCTTAATGCAAGACGATTTTCTCACAGTTACTGTCTTATTTGAATTCTCCAAATTGACTTTTTTTTTTTTTCAAATGACAGGGCAGTTTCAGTATGCAGTGAAAGTCTCCTGTCCTCTGTAAATTGGTTTTTTTGATGGTAATAATATTTCCTCATTTGTTTTTTATTAATTCATTCTAGCTATGATTAAAATCACCTGCAAGCCTTTCATGGTTGGAAGACAATCCTCAGGAGCCCCCTTTTTGCTGTCTGACAATGTGATTGTCTCTTCTTCGTAACCATTGATTCTCTTTTTCCATTTTTAATGGCATTTTGGCCTCAGCATTTGGGAGGTTCTGCTTTGCTGGTCCCTCTTTGATGCTGCTGCTCTGTAGCGTTGCAGTGACCCACCCCTCCTTCTTCTAGGCATTGAAAAATACCAGAAAATTCTTAGTTCTGCTAACATATTTTACTACATATCCTCAAAATTTATGTTTATGTGAAAGCTGAAAATTATGCCTGTCTGTGGAGAACTTGTTTTTTAAGAACTGACATTTAAATTCCATACATTTGAGTGGTGATTTTCTTATTTGCTTCTTCTGGTAGTATTTGCTTTAAATTTACTTTCATGATGGCAGCACGTATGTTGTAATCACTGTCAGCACATACAACTTACATGGCCGAACATTCAGAGGAACAAACAAAAATTTCTGCAGGTTAAAGCCTGGTATGTCTGTGGTTCTGTTACAACCAGTCTGATGTGGTTTTGTGGGCAGAAAAGCATGTTCTTGCCATCAACAGATGATTTGGTTAACAAAGTTGGCTGAGCTCTTCACTGGTGCTGCTGTGTGAACAAATTCCAGGTACCCAAGTCCTGTTTAGTCCATAATTAGTTGTTCCTACTCTCCCATTCATGCTCAGCCATGTCAATGAGGGTGTGCTGCTGCTAGTGAGGTTCTCTAAGATGGTTTAGAAAGTGGTTTTGCATTGTGGTAGCGCTTGGAGGGTTTTCATCGTCACCTACTGCCGTGGACTGTGTACCTGCTCCTTTGCCGTTAATTGTTTCCTCGTCTGTCTCGCAGGGCTCTTTACATGGT